ATTCCAGTCCCATAGAACTGCATGGAATAAGTTATTTGTGTGAAATCTGTTAGGTGACTCATGTGTAAAGTTTATTTTAAGGATAGATAAAACAATACTTTTGAAGTAAATTAGGATAAATTACAGAACACTGTTGAGTAAAATACGATATTTTTTGTCTCTTCTTTCACTTGTCTCATGCAGTGTGAGCTTCTCGTTCTTATCTGTTCTTCTTTGAAACTTTTTCCTTTTCACTTGGTTTGGTTGTTTTCCATGGCAGAAAATTGTAGGACACCAACGCTGTCAGGAGGTAAGTAGCCATGCCCGTGTATCCTCCGATTACGAGACACAGCGGCTGCGCCAGCACAAACAGACAGAAGACGTTCATCGACGCTCCGTCATTTAGCTCCACCAGGTCGTCCTTCGAGGCTCTCATCACGCCAAAGAAATACATCAACGCCACTGCGGGGTAAAAGGCCAGCTCCACCATGACGATAAAAAGGAAGCACCTCCCTCACACACGACACTGGAATACCTTTAAAATGACGGCATACAGTTGGAAAGCTGTGTAAAGTCGGCTAAACAACAGTTTCAGACAAGCACACTCACCCAGGCTCGGTTCACACTCGTTTCCAGGCAGAATCCCTCTGAACCGAGGTGTTGAGGAAAAACAAACTCGGACCTTTGATCCTTCATCATAAAAACCCTGTGAAACATTATCCACTCACTGCACTTCTTATCAGGACGTTTAGCAGTTATTACCATCACAACAAATGTGCTGCTTTTTTTGCATTAATTCAATTTGTAAGAAACCCTTCTATTAAAATTTTCCAATTGCTAAAACTAATTAGCCTCTGCTTTCTTGTGTGCCAGCTTTCCTCAACCGCTGTGTCAAAGTGCCCTTCACTCCTCAGCACAAACTGTCATTAAATGATTAAACTGTGAAAACCAGGGCTGAATATAAAGCGTGTGAACCTTATTTAATCTTGTATAACTTACATAATGAGTGTGTATCATTTGAAATATACTTGGAAGTGTTAAAACATACATTTTGACCTTTTAATGACAGATTTCTGTATAAAATAAGATGTATGTCACCCTGCTCCAATTTTGTTTTTTTATGCGCAAGAGAAAACTCAACTTTAAAGAAATGAACTGTAGCCAAGAGAAACAGGAAGCTTACAGCTCCTACAGTATAAATGCATTGTTTCGTGCAACTGTGCAAAAGTTTTAGGCATGTGTGGAATGCAAATTAAATCTACCTTTTTAAACAGATTGCATTTGTAAACTTTATCAGTACAGAGTGAATGAACAGAGAAATTTAAATCAAATCTACATTTGTCCAACATTTTTCTTTAAAACAACCTCAGTTCTTCAGGTTTTGAAGGAACTCTGTAGGTGGTTCAGAGCATCTTGGAGAACCAAAGATCTCCTGTTGATGTTTGTGGCTCAGAATCTTCTGGTCCTTCCAGTAATCCTACTTGATGTTGAAATCTGAGGATTCTGTGTACGTCTTCGTCACCTGTGGGACTCTGTTTTTTATGCTGAAGGCGACGCTGACACTGGCTGAGTATTTAAGCTTATTGTCCTGCTGCTGAATAAACTGTGGTTGATTAGACACCTCCTGAATCATCTGACATGAATCTGCTAGTATTTCTCAACACAAAGGCCACCCGTTTACCACATGACCAACTTTGTTTGCAGAAATGCAACCTCAACCTTGTAAGGAACTTCCACTGTGTTTGGAAGTTGGGGTGCAGGGGGTGCTGCAGCCGGAGGACACGCATGTTCAAATACATAGATAAAGGAATAATATTGAATAAATAAAATCTGATGTTACTGATATTTAAAGTACTTCTGTAAAGTATTCACAGCACTTTACATTTTCCACATTTTGTTATTTTACAGCCTTATTCCAAACTGATTATTATTAATCTCTTTCCTCAAAATTCTGCACACAATACGTGATCACAAACCCAACAGTTACTCTGTCAGAGCTCTGGCATTTTTCAATGGAGAGAGGAGAACCTTCCGGAAGGACAACAATCTCTGCAACAATCTACCAATCAGACCTGCATGGTAGAGTGGCCAAATGAAAGCCACTCCACAGCCCATCTAGAGTTTACCAAAAGGAACCTGAAGGACTCTCAGCCCATGAAAAACTAAATTCTCTGGTCTAATGAGACAAAGATTGAACTCTTGGGTGTAAATTCCAGGCGTCATGTTTGGAGGGAACCAGGTACCACTCATCATCAGGTCAATACCATCCCTACAGTGAAGCATGATGGTGGTAGCATCATGCAATGGGGATGTTATTCAGCAGCAGGAACTGGCAGACTAGTCAGGATAGAGAGAAAGATGAATGCAGTAATGCATAGAGTCATTCTGGATGAAAACCTGCTCCAGAGCGCTCTGGACCTCAGACTGGGGCGACGGTTCATTTTTCAGAAGGACAACAGCCCAAAGCACATGGCCAAGATCTCAAAGCAGTGACTTCAGAAGCACTTTGTGAATGTTCTGAGTGGCCAAGCCAGAGTCCAGACTTGAATGTGATTGAACATCTCTGGAGATATCTGAAAATGGCTGTGCACAGACTTCTCCCATCCAACCTGATGGGGCTTGAGAAGCACTGCAAAGAAGAATGGGACAAACTGGTGTGCTAACGTTGTGGCATCGTATTCAAAAAGACGCGAGACTGTAATTGTTGCCAAAGGTGGATCAACAAAGTATTAAGCAAAGGCTGTGAATACTTATCTAAATGTGAATTATTATATTTTTATTTTTCATAAATTTACAAAAATCTCCAAAAATATTTTTCACATTGTCATAATGGGGGGGTTGTGTGTAGAATTTTAAAGAGATAAATTATTTTAATACCATTTGGAATAAGGCTGTAACATCACAAAATGAAGAAAAAATGAAGCGCTGTGAATACTTTTCAGATACACTGTAACCTTTAATATAATTCTGACATATAGAGTTTTGTAAACTGGATATATAAATCAGCAGTGTTATCGTTTATCTGTGTGCAACATTTAACCACTCCCTAAAACTCACATAAGTAGGAAGATCTTCACTGGGTCATTGTTTTTATCATGTCCACTTCAGATATGACT